AATAGCCCAAGGAGGAGTGGTGTGATTGATCCTTGCTCCAAAGATTTGTCACAGATTGTAGTTAAAAAGGCAGAAAAGACTAATGTTTGCAAATAAAAATGTTGACAATCATAATTTTAGGTGTTTTCTTAAACTTTTACCTCAAAATCTTAAATTTTTATTGCAAATTTGGTTTCATATAAGAGCAGACACTTCAGAATAATGCCAGTGTAAGCCAATTCTTCCTTCATCTCTGATACACTGTAAACCCCTACTTGATCCTCTGTTCAATTTCCATTGTAATCCCTTATTCTATCCCTTGCTCATACTCCATTTTAAACCCCTACATGATCTCCTTTTCAAACTCTTTTATAAACCCTTACTTCATTTCCTATTTCAGCTGTGACATAAATACCAATTCCATTTTTTACAACCAATGAAAAAAACATACATCTCATATTTCAACACTTACTCCATTGTAAATCTCTTCTCCATCTCCTCTACTGTAAGGTGCTTCTGCATCTCTTAATCGATGGTAAGCTACTTACTCCATCTACTCAATTTATAAACCCCTACTCCAACTCTTACCTCATGGTAAACCCCTACTCCATTTCTTACTCCATGGTAAACCTCTACTCCATCTTTTATTCAATGGTAAACTCCTACTCCATTTTTTACTCCATGGTAAACCCCTACTCCATTTCTTACTCCATGATTAACCCATACTCCATTTCTTACTCCATGATAAACCCCTACTCCATTTCTTAATCCATGGTAAACACATTATCTATCTCCTACTCAATGGAAAATCCCTACTCTATTGTAAACCCCTACACTATTTCTTACTCCATGGTAAACCCCTACTCCATTTCTTACTCCATAGTAAACTCCTACTCCGTCTCTTACTTCATGGTAAACCCCTACTCCATCTTTTACTCTATGGCAACTCCCTACTACATCTTTTACTCCATGATAAGGGGCCCCGAGTGGCTGAGTGGTCTAAAGCGCTGTCCGTTACAAATCACTGCCATCTCACCTCTGTCTGCGTGGGTTCGAGTCTAGGATTCGGCGAATGTGGATATGTGAGAAAGCTTGCCAGTAGATTCTCGTGGGTCGGTGGTTCTTTCCAGTGATTTCCCGGTTTCTTCCTCCACCATTAATACTGGCCGCCATGAATAGCCTATTGTGTGCTGAAAAATGGCGTTAAGCCCAACAACAACAACAACTACTACTCCATGATAAACCCCTACTCCATCTCTAACCCCATGGTAAGCCCCTACTCCATCTCTTACTGCATGGCAAACCCCTACTCCTTCTCTTACTCCATGGTAAATTCTACTCCATCTCTTACTCCATGGTAAATTCTACTCCATCTCTTACTCCATGGTAAACCTCTACTCCATCTCTTACTCCATGGTTAATCCTTACTCCATCTCTTACTCCAGGGTAAACCCCTACTCTGTCTCTTACTCCATGGTAAATCCCTACTCCATCTCTAATCCATGGTAAACCCCTACTTTATCTCTTACTCCATGGTAAACCCCTACTCTGTCTCTTACTCCATGGTAAATCCCTACTCCATCTCTAATCCATGGTAAACCCATACTCCATGGTAAATCCTTAATCCATCTCTTACTCCATGGTAAACCTCTACTCCATCTGTTTCTCCATGGTAAATCCTTACTCCATCTCTTACTCCATGGTAAACCCCTACTCCTTTTTTTACTCCATGGTAAATCCTTACTCTATCTCTTACTCCATGGTAAACCCCTGCTCTATCTCTTACTCCATGGTAAACCCCTACTCTGTCTCTTACTCCATGGTAAATCCCTACTCCATCTCTAATCCAAGGTAAACCCCTGCTCTATCTCTTACTGTATTGGTAGTCCAAACTCCATCATAAATCGTACTCTATCACTTACTGTGTTGGAAGTCCCAACTACATTTCTTACTGTATTGGAAGTCCCTACTCCATCTCTTACTCTATTGGAAGTCCATACTCCATCTCTTACTCTATTGGCAGTCTCAACATCATCTACTCCTACTTAATGGTTAATCCCAGATCCAACTCATTGTCATACTTTACTGTAACCCCAATCCCATTTCCTGCTTAATTGTATTATCTATATTTAATTTGCATTGTTTGTTTCATCGTTTCTTAAATATATTTTTTATTTCATTATAGAATATTTATAATTTAACATTGTATGTTAGACTTAACATTGTCCTAAATCAAGTTCATTTTTTACTTAACCTGAATATTTATTTTATTCTGTAAACAACTAATACATATTAGTTAATATACTCTCCCTGCATATGGGTTGACTGTTAGGATTATTATCTTTGCCAGAGTCAAGGACATTGTGTTTACTATTTTCTTTATTATAGTTATTATATTTTGTAAAATAAGGAACCTTCTGGAAGGTTATTTTCCATTAGATAATAACTTATTCTTCAAAATGCTAATTGTGACCTGAGCTGAAGTAGAGGACTATATAAGTTTGTTTTGCTAGAAATTATTCATATGTGCTTTGGGATCATAGCAGTATCTGTTATATTAATGTTGTGTCCAGTGGTCCACTTGGACTAAAATTTTATTTAATCAAATATTTATTCGCTGGAAATACAAAATGCTCATCAAAAATAACATCCTTGGAAACAGGAACTTGAATAATAATGAAATTTCAAAAAATAATATGTTCTTGGATTATATTATTATGATCCAACAGAAAACTATTGGCACATCACCACTACACAGGTCACTAGATACATCAACGGCATTGAATTTGTTTTGGATTTCCACCAAATTTTTTTCAGATCTCTAATCATTAGGATTTGTTTCTATGATTATTTGGGATTTAATTCACACTACCATAATTTATATTTTTGGGTACATTTTCACTTGTATTCTTGCAAAATAAAATATATGTTAAATTTTACAAGTTTGTTACTTTTCATTCTTTTCCATTGTTTCAAGAGCATAGAGTCATAATAAATGTAAACCCTAGTCCATTTCCTACTCCATTGTAAACCCCTAATCCATCTCCTTCATTTTAAACCCTCACTCCATCTCCTAATGCATTGTACCATATTTGCTGGCTTATAAGCCAAGGCAGAGTATATATACCAGTAGAATTTTTTAATATTCCATTCTTTATCTCCTATATTATGATCATAATTGCTAATTTTATAAGCCAATCAGTCAAAGTTTTATATCTTCACATTTGGTAGCCTGAGCAGAATAGCTAAAGAGCATCAATGTGTGCCAATGATTTGATTCACTTTCAGATTTCGGAAAGCTGCATTTTCATTGGTTAATTCATAGGTCACCAGAACATGACCCCTAAGCCATCACTGTCAAACCTTCATGTAGGGCAGTAGAGATCTGATTTTATTGTGATTAATATACACTGCTGAATTATAAAAAAGATTAATATATACTGCTGAATTATAAATGTTATTTTTGTTTACATGTATAATGCTGCATTATAGTTGCTATTTGTCTTGCTGATATTACTTTGGTGGACTAAACTGGCAGTGCAAACAAATTGCAATTAAAAATTATTTTTTATTATTCTTTTGTCAACCAATGTCCAGTTTGTGTCAAGGTTTTTGGGTTTATGAGATGATTATTCTGTAGTAGACTAACTTGACACATTCTTGAAATGTATGAGGAAAAAGGTTAAAAAATACACTTGATTTCAAAAAGACCTTAACACTCCATGGTCTTCTTAGGTCTCTTGTTATCATGATATTGTAAATCTTGTAGCTCATGTTTGCAGAACTTACTGAGAATTTTAATTGATAATCTTTGCACAAATGATTGTTTCCTTTGCTTTTAATTCATTTGTATATGTTCACCAAAAGGCAAAATGTGTAATGTTATGATGTCTAGCCAAATGTATGTCTGTACATCTGTCCATTATCCTTTTCAAATTCTGCAAAATACTTTTGTTTTACACTGTATACTTTCACTAAACTTTTTACATATCTTGCACTGTGAATTTTGCTGTCAATGGTCAGGGTCACTGAGTGAAAGAAGAAATACATCTTTTGTACAGGAATATGCATTACAGACTTTAGATAAAACATTATGGATGAATTGCACTTTATATAAGAAAGGAGCCTGTTGACTTTTGCATTGAAAGATAAAGGATCAAGGTCACTTGCTAAAGAAAGTTGTTGTTGTTGGGTTTAACACCATTTTTCAGCACATGATAGGCTATTCATGATGACCAGTATTAATGGTGGAGGAAGAAACCGGGAAATCACTGGAAAGAACCACCGACCCATGAGAAGCTACTGGCAAGCTTTCTCACATATCCACATCACATTCGCTGAATCCTAGACTTGAACCAACGCAGACAGAGGTGAGATGGCATTGATCCGTAACAGACATCGCTTTATACCACTTGGCCACTCAAGGCCCCTACTAAAGAAAGAAAAATGGTTTTAATGACCTAGTTCTAGACCTTAGACTATAACCAAAGTTTATGGAGGACTTGCATTTAAGGTAATAAAGAAGTTTGTTACTTTTGGCATAAATGGGCAGTGTTATTGTCATGCAAGGACAAATGGGTTGTTTGTTATAAAAGTAACTTGTTATTCTAGAGTAAATACTTTGTTGCAACTCTATGGTATTTAACTAAGTAACAGAAAAAAGTGAAAACCGACAAGTTTGATAAAATTCAGCATATAATTTCATTCCATAAAGTGAAAATTCAAAGAAACTTACAGTATTAGGAATTAAATTTCAAATATCCTGACAAATTCACAAGTCCAAAAGTATACAGTATTTTAAATGAATTCCATTGGTTTTTTAAACAATTTCCAGTTTTGAAAGTACTGATGTACCAATAGCCTGGAATAGTGTTGATGTGCTAACAGTCTGGCTGTATCACAATAATATAATCCAAAATGCCTCTAAATCAATTAGCAATAATCCCCACAAAATAGTGATTTAATCCAGAAGTCAAAGAGCACTTAATATTTTAAAACCTTTCAAACAAAATTGAATTACTGCTCCGGTGGCCAAGTGGTTAGAGCATCTGCCTTGGATGCTGGAGGTCGTGGGTTCAAACCCTGGCTAAGTCATACCAAAGACTTTAAAAATGGTACTTAAACAGTGGCCTTGCTTGGCACTCAGCATTAATTTTAGTGTTAGGACTGGTTGACTTGTCAGGAGAAGATGACTGGGTGGGACATCATGGCACATGTCTGCTGCATGATACTGCAGTGCTAAACATCACTATAAACCGTACACTGCAGACATCATAGCAATATGACTGAAAATTTGCTAAAAAGCTACGATAAAAATCTAAGTCACTCAAACAAAATTGATTCCTTTAAAGACTGCTGTTAAGACAGGAAATAGTCAATCTGATGTAAACCTCTCCACCTGCCTGTTGCAATAATCATTTTCTGAAAATACTCCATCATCTTAATGGATAAAATTTTTAAAATAAGGCCAGATCTGTTTACTTAAATTTTAGCAAACTGCCTGGGATAACAAGTAGACCATGTTTCCCAGGTGAATAGCAATATCCTGAATTTAGATGAAGGTAAACATGTTTACCTCTAGATAATAATGATCTTTATATACAATCCAAAATCATATTCAAGAATTACCTATGTAATATGTTGTTTATAAAAATATAATTTCAAATCATAGTCCAGAATTAGATATGTTATATGTTGTTTATAAAAATGACATTAGTTATATAGGCCCAAACTCATAAGATCAAGGGCAAAGGTCAATCACACAATTTAAATGAAATTACATGACTTATAATCATGGACAAAAGCCAACACTCTGTACAAATTAAATATAAATTTGTGACCATACACAATTAATAATAGTGGTTTCTGCACATTAAGTTTAGTTCAAGACTGCATGCCAGAGTGCAAGCATACAATGTACCTTTCATGGTGCTCTAAGTTGATGAGAATGGTTTTCTTTTCGGAGATCAGAATGGTCATGAAAGTGCCATAATGTCTCAGGGAAAGCTGTGATTAAATGCATCTTGAGTACTGAATAAGAACTTTATAATTTTCCTGGTAATTATACATCTGCACCTATTAACAGATTTGGTAATTACAAATTTACCAATAACAACTTTTGCAAACAAAGTGTAGGACTTGCATTTATGTCATGGGAATTATTTTTCAGTACTTGACACCTACTTTGTATAATGAAAATCATATTCTATTAGAATGGAGAATGCTGTAGTGGAATTGTAAATGATCGTTGTTTTAGAATGTAGAATGCTGCAGTGGAATTGTAAATGTGGAACCAAAACCATGGTATTTTAATGAGTGGTGAAGCTTGGAATATTAATTTCATTGATGAATATTAAATATATGTTTAATGTCAATAAAAAGTTTAATTTAATTCATTGCTTTAAATGTTTCATTTGCTGGTGACATACTCTTAATGAGTAAATGATGAAGGACTGGAAATAAAAAACTGGAACAACAATTTTCTGTCACTATGTTGAAGATATGCATGTACACTAGAACTATTTATAGAATTTAAAGTTTAAGGTGAAGGTCAAGTTGGACTGCTCTCACTGATATATGTTCTAATGTGTTGTTATATATGTTATTGTTGAAGATAATTAATTTGTAATGAATCTTTTCAAAGTACAAAAATTAAAATAAATGACACATGAAATTAAACCTTTAAAAATGTTTACCATTATTATTAATATTTATTATTTTTATTATTATTATTATTATTATTATTATTATTATTATTATTATTATTATTATTATTATTATTATTTTCGATCAAGCATTTAAGATGTCAGAATATCTATTAAGATTTTGTCAAAAATATAACACCGTAAGAACAGTGGCACTCTACAGTTTCATATTTAGCATATTTTAAAGAAAAAGAGTTTCCCCGGGTTTCCTCACTAGTTATACTGGTTATTTAAAAGAGACTTTGTATATCTTGGGTATTGTTCAAAGAACCTTTAATTCCCTTTATTTTGATGTATGATTGATGGGTGTAATATGGGTTAGAGAGTATACAGCTTGGCCTTACTCCAGATGTGCACCTTTCAAAAAAGTGCTAGCTCTACTTGCTCATTTTCACTTCTCGAACTTCAGAGGTAAATTGTAAAAAAAAGAGCCGATAACTTTTTTTTTTTACATTTTATGTATTTGGTAATTCAGTTATTGCACTTTTAGAAGCTGGTATTATCTAGTTTGGCAAAATTCATTTTCCATATTTTATTAGCTGTCAAGAATAGTGTACTTTAGACAAATTTAGGTTGATTTTTGGAGCACAAGGGAGCAGTCATTTTAGTTAGCAGTGTCCTAAGATAATTTAAAATTTCCAAAAGTACAATATCCATAGAAATTTCATCCACATTACATGAAAGTAGTATATAGGTATGCCAACATTCTCTCCACTGTGCATGTTTAAAATGCAAATAACTTCACCTTACATACATCACTCTCTCAAAAGTACATAATAACTGGTGAGCGCCAGCCTATGACAACTCGATTTTTGTTATATTTTTTTTTTTTTTTTTAAAGAAAAGAATCGCATTATGGAGTGCGTAATTTTATACTTGTCCGGAATAACCCGAAGTTTGAGCTCAACTTATTTACCGTAAATTGTCAAATAGGTTTGTGGCAGGTCGTAAAACATTTTAAAGTTCAAAAAGAGGGTTAACTATCTTTAAATTTCTTATTTAGTAAAAAATTTAATATAGAAAATTTATAGATAGCCTAATACTTAAAAACTAACATTATAAAGTTGGAAAAGAATTTGTATATGGTTACGACATCCACGTTGAAAACTTTTTTTAGACACGATAATGTTTTCAAGCCAGATTTAGAATTTAAAAATTGGTCTCAGAGCGGTAAAACTGTACATATTACGGTCTGATATTATCCTAAGTTTAACGAATTTCTATTATGAATATTTTATACGAATTATGGATTTTTATTTTCTTTGCTAACGCTTTCATTGATGTGTACTACGTTGACGCCAAAACTATCAGAGGTGTATTTTCATCGCTAAAGGCAAACGCTGAAAAAGGGCAATACTTGTCATCCTTCTGTTTTCACGGTAATACGAGTTAAAGACGAGTTCGAATCCAAGTTAAAACATGTCAGTATTTGTTGTGTCTAAAAGCTGAGTAGTTGAATTTACTAAGAATTCAACAGCCTTGGTTGTTGAGAAACTCTTTTATACTTAAATACACCAAATACGCTAAAATGCACCATTTGGAATAGTAAAAGTATATTTAAATATTTAAATTTTATTGTTTTGTTGAGTATTTTAAAAATAAGTTAGATTTGTGAAACATTAATTTATAGTAATACTAGTCTGTTACTTTCAATAGGCTTAAATGTCAAGTGAAATATGGTTTAAACCTGCAGTTTCACCATGCTTTATAATTATATTCTCTATGATCAGCATCCTTTTTATAGACTGAAATTTGAATTTGTTGTGTGAATGTATGTTGATAAATTACTTTTTCAATCATTGGTTTTAATGTGTATCAAGTATATCTGGTATTATAATCATAGCTGAGTCTAATTTAGATAGTTTTGAATATGTGTAAATGAAGACTAAATCAAAGTTCTGTAGAACAAGATTCCTTTTTTTATTATTGTTATAATATTGATTGATAAAAAAAAAAACAGTGAAGAAAATGCCAACAAAATGGGATTAAGATGCCAACAATGTTTGACTTGAAAAGATTTAATAACTTTCAGTATTATATTAAACTAAAAATACTTTCCATGATATTCTTTAATACTTTTTTTTACCTTTCCAACCCACCCCACTCACAAAATGAATTAAAAGGTACATTAAGAAATGTCATTTGACTATTTTAGTCCTAATATACCATTTATGTAAATAAAGAATGTCCAGTCAATTTCCACTAATTAGATATGTCACTTGTTAATAGTCAATGGAATGGAGGCAAATCATGTCTGCAGTAAACAACAAAAAGCAGAAGCTTAAAGTGTTTAATTCATTTATTATCAATTAAAAACATGTTTATGTATATAAATATAACTCTTTACATATATTTCATGGGTAAATTTAAGTGCATTGGAGTATATTTGAGTGTGTTCTCATGTTTAGTACAGTAAAACTTCCCTGATCCAAACACCAGGATGATTTTGGTGTCTGAATCTTTGCTGAAATCCATTGACTTAAGTTTAGTCAATCTTGATGGTGAAACTTTGACTCAGCATTGTTACAAGACAACTGGAGGTCTGTTTTAATCTCAGATCCAAACCCTAGAACATCAGCTTTGCTGATTAATGTGTTATATGACAAAGTCTCATACTCAGTAACAAAGAAAAGAGTGAAAACCAGCAAGCTTTGTATATTTTAACAAAACAATTTATTTCTCTAGACAACAATGTAAAAATTGGTAAATGGGACGATGTACAAATATGGAAGGTGATGATGATAGATCTAGTCCAATGAATGAATAACAATTATTCCTCACTTGAATCACAGTCATTATTTACAAATAATTCTGGAATTAACTTCCATGAATATCTTTCAGAAATTTTTATAGAAAAGTCAACTTGTTGAGTTTCCAGGGGAATAAATTATTAAGTCCAAAAGTAAGCCGAAGAATAAACAATTCTGGCAACAAATTAAAAAATACACCATGTACCTTCAAAGTGTTGAATGGCTCTCCTCGAAAAAATATTAGGATTGCGTATTTAGAACCCCCCAATGGCTCATTTAAAGTCTCGTGAGATTGGTCATTTGGTCTCTTACTACACTAGTCTCCCTTTTTGTAATTGACTTGTATCTTAGCAATTACACAAATCTAGATAGTCAGTTACAATTAAAATTACACCAAATTGGTGATGTTCAAACAGTTACAAATGTAATTAATTACACAATAACCAAATTATGTTATAAATGAATGTAAGCCCAATATAATATAAAATAATATACCAGGTCCATACAGATGCAAACTAATATACCATGTCCACACTAGAAGGGGATGCAAGTCAAATAGTTGCCTCATTGTCATTTTGCATAATTACACAGATAAAGTAGTCTTTGCCTACAGAGTCAATATAGTTAAATGGTATTTGTT